AAGAGTTTAGGGACAATAGTTTGGATAGAGAGGCTTGTGGAAAGGGTTTCGGAGATGTGGATGGGGAGGAGGATGGTTCTTGGAATGAGAATGTCTCGGGATTAGATCTTCTAAGCAAGCAAAGTTTAAAGAAAGGAAGCTATCGAATGAAAGGTAAAGGATATACCGTAAACAGGTCGCCCTGTGGGCTTAGGTACCGTCGCAAAGTCAGTTTTGGTCCTAAGAAGTTTCCACAATCGTCTGGAAGTGTCGGTGAATCGGTGAAAGATATTGAGGAAAGAGATTCTCCTACTGTTATCTCTGAAGGTGAGTGCCAGTTCTTGCCCAATTCATCTGAATTTTAAATGTCCCGTCCAAATCATTTGCTTTCGTAATCTTAGATAGTGGAAGAACTTCGATATATTGAGCCTTTACTTCCATAGCTGATTACCTTGAAAAGTTGATTTATTTTGCTAACCGCAATGCATTTTAGAGTGTGGAAAAGCGTTGAAGAACAATTTCTTGTCCAAAAGTCTTTCTCTTGCTTCTGGTGGGTTTGAAACCGGTGCTCAAGGCAAACAACCGGAAAGGACATCATCATGGGCTGGAGATGGAGATGACCAAAAGAGAGTCAGGATTCTGGAGCAGGCGCTAGAAGAAGAACGGGCTGCACATGCTGCGTTGTCTCTTGAACTCGAGAAGGAGAGAAATGCTGCTGCAACTGCTGCAGACGAGGCTATGGCTATGATACTGCGTTTACAAGAGGAGAAGGCCTCCATAGTAATGGAAGCTAGGCAAAACCAGCGCATGATAGAAGAAAAATGCGCGTTTGATGCAGAAGAGATGAGCATTCTGAAAGAAATCCTGTTGAGAAGAGAGAAGGAGAAGCATTTCTTGGAGAAAGAAGTAGAGAGCTACAGGCAAATGCTTCTTGACATCGAGGAAACCAAGCCAGATGCAAAAGCTGACCCTGTTGAGGTTTCATTCTTGTCAGACTTAACCGAAAATGTTGTGCAAACACCAGGCCCAACGACCATATCTTTTGTTGAAAAGGGAAATTTGGAGACTGAAGATTTATTTTCTAGACCTGGGGTCATATCTAATCCGACCGAGAATAGTTTCCTCGGGCTTGGAAATGAATCAATGGCTCCAAGGTTTGATTTTGATGCCAATTCTTCAAAGATGGGGGAAGTTCATCGGGTTCTCTTTGACAACACTGGGGATGAGACCCTTGTGCATAATCAATCAAGTAATGTGGAACTTCATGTTCATGGCAAAACCGAGACTTGGATAGATGAAGAACAGCAAAAAAGAGAGCAAGACAATGCATTTCCCGGGCCAATGTCAAAAGCAAGCGAGGAGAATATTGGAGAGGACTCGTATGATGTGGATTGCCATGTGCATGATGTTCATGTGATAACCGATGAAGACAAGATGACTGAAACAATACAAGGGAAAGGGAATGTTCCTTCAGCCTATACCGAGGCTCGGGATTTCAAACTGGACAGATCCAGAAGTGTTTCAGACACAACTTATAAACTGCCTCCTCTATGTCCACCACCGCGGAGACAGAACATGTCTCCTGATATGCGTAGAAAGTCAATGTCTGCTGTCGACTACGAGAGATTGAAGATCGAGAACGAAGTCGGATGGCTCTGGGGAAGATTGAAAGCCATACAGCAAGGAAGAGAGAAGCTCCATCACTCCATTGTAGTGCCGAGAGAACGTGGGAAAACGCAGTTGCAGCTTCTCGAAGACATAACCCGGAAGCTTCACAACATCAATGAGCCGTCAGAAACCGGAAAATCTTTCCACCGGGATTCTTTGCTTCATCCTTCCTCTATGGTGAGCTCGCTCATCTTTGAGTAATTTACTTGCAGTCTGCCATTAAAGAAGCATGAACTTGGCCAAAAGTTTTCGACTTTTTACACTATCCAGTCGGGTTTCATTTGGATTTCGGCTCGGATCCAAGATCTTGATCGAATTTCTTCTTGGTTTTCACACTGATTGGTTACTTTTACTTTTGTACCGTGATGTAACCATCATGTGTCAAAGAAGTAATGATTTCCAGACAAATGGCTGAGGTTGTTGCTTTTGCAGGTGAAGGTTATGTCGAAGAAACGGCCCTGTCGAAGTGCTTCACTCGATCAGCATAGCGCCTGAAGTAGAAACTGCAGGTATATATATGTATATGTACGCGTATATGTATACGTATATATATCGAGAAGGCACGTAGTGCATGGAGATCTTGACTCCCACGACCACAATGTATATGTACGTACTTTCAGGTGTATGATGTTCTCTGTTTCGGATATGTAATGACTAAAACGGTGTCGTTTTTACCTATAATAATAAAACAGTTACTAATTGTCATTTTTTGCAATTTTTCGGATTTTTCCGAACAAAGGCCCAAAAAGAGGCCCATTTAGATCAAAATATGAGAATGAATTACGGGCCTAAATAAAGGCCCATTGAATTCCAAAGAATCGAAATCGACGATGGGCCCGAGTAAAGGCCCAAATGCTTCCAACGAAGAGGGAACCAGTGAAGAAAAGATTCAGAAAAGTACCAAAGTTTCTGATCAATGCAACAGAAAGCTCAACAGAGACAGAACAAGAACGGTGGTCGTGGAGCTGTTTTAAGTTAAAACATCAAAGACAGAAACTGAATATCAGACATTATCAAACGAAGAATAAACTCAAACCCAGAAGACTGAAAAAGTTACATTTCAATGTCTCCAATCCAAGAAGAGGGTTTATTACTAGTTGTTTCCTTTGCCTCCTCCTCCTCCTCCAGAGGCGGCTGCTGCCTGAGCCGCCTTCTTCGCCGTCTTCTCTTGCAATGCCTTTGCATCCCTTCAACGCGAAATCAATGCCGGAAAATGAAAACTATCAGATCAACCCCCCCCCCCCCCCCCCCCCCCCAAACAAAAAGGTATCTGCCATTGCCAATGCCAATTCAAACGAACGATGCAAAGCTTCGTTTTTTCAAACTTGCAACGAGCAATTTTCACAAGTTTCGAGTTTATATAGACGAGTAAATCGGCTGGTTTGTAGTTCTTATCGGCTATATGGTTGGAATTTTAGCTGACTTTTTCCCATAAAGATTTTGTTAGAATATCATCAGATCAAAAAGCACAATCCCAAGTATCATCTGCCATTGCCAAGCTTAGTTATTTTTCCTGGGGATTTGGGTTATACCTTTCACGGCGTTGCTCGGGAGTCAGCCCGTCATCTTTAGTCTTTCCCTTGCCTGAAGTACGAGCCTGTGCCCTCTCACGGTCACGATCTCGTTGGTTACCTCGTGCCATTCCGCATCAACCAAGCAAGAATCATAATCAAGGGAAACAAATGGCGTTCTTTGATTCTTCAATAAACACACCACCACAGATTTTGTAATCCACATTCAAACATGAACAAAGTGATTCGGATCCGTTTGAACAACACACAGACATTGTAATCCACAATCAAGAACATGAATGACAACAGAAGCCCTGAAACTTGATTCTCCCGTAAACCTCGGAGATTATAGAAAACCCTACAGCTATTCTATTACATAGAAATTATCCTTAGGAAACATCTCGAATCTAAAAAAACCTTGTCTCTCGCCTGATCTAGCAATCCATACTAAAAGATCAAACAGAACTATACAACTTCGTATCTAAAACCAAACTCAGATTCGCTCAACCGGAGATTGAATCAAACGCTATACAATTGAGTATATCATAATCAGAAATTAAGCAGATTTGAAGTTTCTCCTATTCTGGGCATCACCGAAATACAGATGAAAAATCCAAGCATAAATGATATGCAACGAAGGAAACCGTAAGACAAAAAAAAAAAAGAACCCTAACTGCAAATCAAGCTAATGATAAGAAAAAACCTAACTTTCAGGGAAATCAAGCTCGCAACCCCCCACAGAGAACGGAGGAAGTTCGCAATCAAACAATCGCGCGAGACCCAGAAACTAAAACGGAATTTTGAAAGAAAAAAAAAATCAATCGATTGGAGGAAGAAATTGACGAATCGAAGGATATGAGTCATGGTGGAATCGAAACGGGAGGAGTCCGCGTAGCGAACAAGCGAGCCGGAGAAGGGAAAGATATAGGAAGAAAGGGAAACACGAAGAAAACGAGCTTTATAAGGCCAATTTCTGTGGGCCGGTTGTCGTCGTCGTCCTCGTCCGCCTCTCCTTTTCCATATTCTTTATTTTCTGAATTTAATAATTAGGAATTTGTGTTTTTGTCGTTTTTGAGTATCTGGGTTTTAATTAAAAATATGAATTTTCATTACCAAAAACAATTTCATTAATAATGAAATTATATCCTCCACTTTATTTCATTGAAATTTATTTTTTTTTTCTTTTTTCACCTCCATTGATATATTTATTTACATTTTTTATTTGAAACAATTGTAAAATTTGGTATATTCATATGGAAAAGTAAAAAAAATCGTGTATTTAATATATATTTTTTTAAAATTATATAAATTTTAAGATTTTTTAAATATATTTAAAAATATAGAATCACTTCATGAAGAAGAAATTCTGCTCATATATTATATCAATTGAAATGAAAAGAAGAAAAAGGTTAGTATCAATTTAAATAACATTCAATATTTATGGATGGATGGATGGATGAAATAAAATATATAAAAAGAATGAAAAAAATGTAGAAAACGAGTTTTATAAGGCCAATTTATTTGGACCGGTTATCGTCTCTCTCCGCCTCTCCTTTTCCAGTTTATTTCATTAAAAATAATTTTTGCACTCCATCAATCCATTTATTTACATCTTTTTATTTGAAAAAAAAAATCCCAAAAAAACACTAGACTTTTCAATTTTGATAAAAAAACACTAAACTTTATTTTTTACCAAATAAACGTTAAACTTTTTAAACGAATCTAAAAAAACACTTAACTTTTTAAGTGATCCAAAAAATACATGAATTTTTCTTCGATTATAAAAAAAACACTGAACTTTTTTAGTGGTTCAAAAAAATACATGAACTTTTTTCGATTGTCAAAAAAAACTAAGAAAAATAATCTGACGTGTTTGCATCTGATTGTGCCACGTTAGTCATTTTGTTTATTTTGACAATCGTTGAAGAGTTAAAGTGTTTATTTTGTCACTTAAAAAGTTTAATGGTTATTTGATAAAAAAATAAAGTTCAGTATTTTTTTTGTCAAAATTGAGAAGTACTGTGTTTTTTTTTTGTGATTTTCCCATTAGAATAATTGAAAATTTGGTATATTTATATAGAAAGTTAAAAATGTTGTATTTAACAATAAAAACTGGTGTACTTTTATGGAAAAAATAAAAGTGTATGTGTTTATTATAACTTTAAAAAATATATATTTTTATGAGATTTTTTAACAATATTTATTTTGAGCTCCATTACCAATTTAAAAATGGCATATTCATATAATAAAAAATAAAAATAAAATCGGTGGCACTTAATAGAGAATATTTTTAAAAGAATTATATGTCTCCATGAGATTTTTTTTAAAACTATATTTTTTTTTATGTAAGGAATTGCTACCATGGAAAATCTGCTCATATATGATCCAAATTGAACTCAAAAAAGAAAAGGGATGGTAAATATGATGATGATATATAATAACACCATGATGGATGAAGAAAAGACAATAACAAACACACACACACACATATATATATATCATATATATATATATATATATGTATATATGTATGTGTATGTAATTAATCAATCAGTGTCTCTTTAAGGGCATTTAGGGAGTCCTTCTTTGGTCTTCATGCTGTCGTAGCAAGGGCACTCCTCCTTGTGTCCGTACGCACCAGAAGGAACGCAGAGACATCTCTCGCAACAGTAGTTGCAGTAGAACATGCATGGCTTCTTGTGCGACGTCTCCGAGCACCTCACCTGACACGCCCCTTGGCATTCTATACATACATACATATATATATACACACACACCATCATCATCATCATCATCCGAATTTTCTATGCTGAAAGAAACGATAAGATATCAAAAAAGATATCTAAACGAATATCAAATAGTTATCGGTTTATATTTTAAATACTTAAATATATATATATATATATATATATATATATGAAAATTTGATAATATCTTACGTTCCGGGCGAAGTGAACCCTCTCCTCCATTCTGTAAAATCAAATAAAATAAAAGTTAATTAATATAATATTTTTTCATGTATAACAAAAGTTAATTAGACATCTAATTTTTTTTTATAAAGATCATCAAAAATAAGAATTTGAAATGTAGAACAACTAAACTGAATCATACTGATAAGAAGTATTTTTATTGTTTTATGATAATTTAAATAACAACCAAATTACCGTTTTAATTATCTTAGCACTTGTGAACTTCTCTCCCTGTGATCATGAAAAAATAAAATACTTTTAGAGAAATTAACGTAAAAGATTAAAATTTAATTGAATACTACCTTAAAAATTTTACAAAATAAAAGAAGGTAAATAGTAGTTTAAAATTACATTGGAAATTTGTATAACTAATAGAAAACTTAGAACAATGAAGAACACAATAGCTTTAGTACTCATTTCTTCTTTTTGTTTGTTGTTGTTGTGATTTTTTTTTTTGTGTATTTGTCTTTGAATGGATGTGTCTGTTTATATATACTCTCAATGTATGGTTATTATAGAAAATTAGTTTTAAAATTAAGTGTATCTTCATTAATTAATATAGTTCATATCAATGTATAGAATTTTAGTTCTATTTAGAGTATTTTTTTAGCAAAAAAAAGTAGAATTTTACTAAATATAGTCGAAATAAATCTTATCTACAATATATTTTACCATTTAGTGAATCAAACTTCCTCTTTACATCTTTTTCCAAGTAAGGTAAACTTAGAATTAAATGCATTTAAAAGGTACAACACCTAAAGAAAATATGAGCTGTTAGTGATGAAAAAAAGATATATATTAGATTCTGTAATTTAATTATATATATTTTATACTATATATTTAAAATTTTGTTTAAAACTCTGATTTTAAATTTAATTTTATATTCTTAATAAATAATGTTAACTAATTTTTTATACCAAATATATAGACAATAAATATTATGAAATCTATAGATTAATGGTCTGAATATTTACAATTCTCACTATCTACAACAATTAATATATATATATATATATATAATTATTAATAAGTTCGAAATTAAAATATATATACTGATTTATTTCTAAATTCATTTGTATTTTCTATTTCAATTAATTATATCATATAATATATAATATAGATTGTTTATATGAAAAAACTCGAATTATATAATATAACTTACTTAGTAATTTCGCATCAATCCGCAATCAAATTACTCTAAAATAAAAATAAAAAATAAAACTCAAGATTATACTACATATTTTAACTATGAATATGGGTTCGACTGGTTGTACCTCAGTAGTTGCGGCGTTTTCAGAGCATTGATAGCGATTATGAATGATAAATACTGACTGGTTGATAAGTTGATGTTGGCAGCGATTGCGGGTGAGTACGGCTAGAAGTGAATAGTTCGTTGCGGTTGCGCGCGATTGCGTTTTGATATAAATTATAAAAAAAATATTATTTTAAAATAATTTTATAATAATTTTAATCGAATTTTTAGTATCATTTGATAAAAATTATTTACTAAATTTATAATAATTAAATAATAAATTTAAAATATAAATATCATCAATTTAATCGAATTGCGTAGACCGATTGGTCCAGGCACTGGACCGATCAGTCCACATCCCGAGGTTAGACCAAAATTTTTGGTTCTTTGTTTCGGGATCTGATTTGAGCAATAGTTGCTTAACCCAATCAATGGTGATTCAGAATAGCATGATTCGTTCGTTTGGATGGTCCATAGTGAATGAATGTATGTAACTTAATCAAGATATTAGATATGCTTGATTGAGTGGGAGCTTCGGGATTGGGATTACATAATCGAATGGATGGTCTATCCGGATTATGTAATACATCTGATCAAGAAACAATGGTTGATCCTTGATTCGATTCGTACAATTGTTGCACAGAAACCGATTAGATCTAGGAGCTCTACGAGTAAAGCACTTGTCAAGTCCTCGATCATACGTGTCATGGGCAATGCCAAAGCTGGGTGTGCCGTGCTATCTTGGTGAGGCAAGATGGAGAAATGGTGGTTCTCATAGCTTGAAAGTAGATGCTTGATCTATGTGTGGTTTTAAAAATCCCTTTTATGTAATGCTAAGCGTGTACCTTCCATTACTAGAGCACCTGTCAAGGCATCGATCGTCCATAACATGGGTCATGCCAAAGCTGAGCGTGCCAGATTATCTTTATGAGGAAGGGTGGGAAATCGTGGTTCCCACAGCTTGAATATGGTTCACTTGAGACTTAACGGTACAGATGAGACGAGTATGCAATGATATTTGATATCATAGTCTCATAAAGGATCTAAGAGTCACATTGGATGTGATTGACATTAGATGTCTACCTAAATAACATAAAGATGGGTGTAACAACTTATTTTTATGTGAAATATTGATCTTAGTCCCATATAGAAAATTATTGTAGGGTTATTTTTCTTTATGGGAATATAGCTTGTATGTGCGTCTATGTTGTCGTTGATTGATGATGGACTAGCTGGTAGTAGATCATTGATAGAATCTACATATTGTTTTGTTTCGTTCTATTTTGTCTTTTTCTGTAGGACATAGCATCAACCGGTAATGTACCGAAGTTGACGATGCGATCTATCCTTCTGAAGAATAAGCCTCTGACCATGGCTTCTAGATCAATCATTGATGCTTATTGGAAGCATGTGGATGATGATCTGGACAAGTCTAGCTTGATACTTGGAAGCATGACTTCGGAATTGCGTAAGCAATTAGAGGATATGGACGATTCTTTGATAGTTGATCAATTGAATGCGTCATTCCAAAAGAAAGCTGAGAGTTACGGAAAAAGTGATATGGTAGTTATTGGAAAGAGCTCTAGCAAAAAGAAGCGTTCCAAGAGCAAGGGCAATAGGAAAGTGACAAGCGTTGTCATTGAACCTAAGCCTAAATCCAAGAAGGAAGAATGTTATTTCTGTCATGCCATTGGGCATTGGTATAGAAATTGTAGACTCTACCTGGAAGATCAAGAGAAGAAGAAGCTTAAAGAAGCATCGACTTCTGGTGTCTTCGTTATAGAGGCTAACTTGTTTACTTCTACATCGTGGGTACTAGAAACCAGAAGTGCCTCGCACATTTGTGGAAATGTGCAAGGGTTGCGAGGAAGTAGACAACTGGCAAAAAGAAAAGTAGATCTCCGTGTTGGGAATGGAGCAAAAGTTGTTGCTGTTGGTTGTAATGCTCTACGATGATCCGTGATATGACATTTTGACTATGTATTGATTCATTGGTTTATGAATGCATTACTTTTCCCGTTATATGATTAGCATGTTTGTTATATTACGGTAAATATCCTTGAATCATTGCAGATGATTCTAAATTCCCTGGTCAGTTATCATTGTGGGAACAATGATGAATTAAGACCAGCATGATGTGTGATAGATGATTATGATCATATGCATTAGATGCAAATCACAATCATGGGTTCTCGTTTGGAACGAGTTACTGGATGACCCGCATGAGATTGTCACATGGACACGAGTCATGACTTGAATCTCATACAGCGGTTCGTTCTTGGATCCTCAGACCTGAGATGTCTAGAGTATCTGATATGAGGAGTGACATGTCTTGACTGCGTCAAACGTCGTCTTTAACCGGATGATCATAACGACGTTGCTCAGATACGTTCACGAATCATATGCAGATAGTAGACATGCAATACGGGACTTGTCACCTCCTACGCAGGAGAGATGTCGCTGGGCCCCTCGTGGAAATCGGACTGTGAAAATGCGTGGCCACGCTATAGATGAAGTTCCATCTATTTTTTTAGTCGATTTGCCAAGACGAGAAAGCAGTTGAACTTGAAGGGTGGCTCATACCATGCCCTTGTTCAACATACGACATCGTGAGACAAAGGATCAGAACTCGAACTAATGCTGGCTTTGTTAGATCACCTCTAACTCTATTCTAGGTGGGTGGTCATGGCGTCTTGCTAGAGGCTAACCATGACTTGTAGATCGGGAATGGTTCTCGAGGCTGCTGCCACTGCGAATGGGCCTACAGGGTCACACACCATTAGGGATGGATCACACGTGAAGAGAACAACGCGAGAAAAGAGCGACGAAGCGATCTGGAAGAGTTCCGCTGAGGAACGTTCGTTCCGCTGAGGAACGGATGAACCGTTCCGCAAATGCCAGACCGTCCGTTCCAGGTCTGGAACGGACGGTCT